GAATATATCGGAAAAAGTTAAAAATATTTATTGCAATGAGATAAACTCCGACAATGAATACCTAAATCAATTTGACGTCACAACTAAAACTTTGTTTATGTTGATCAAGTTGTTGCCAGCTACATCCAAGGGACGCAAAAAGGCGGTGAACAGGGAATCACTGCCAGAAATTAGTAAAAGGCTTATTGTATTTAAAAAGGTAAAGAACTAAGCAACCCTTTTCTTTGTTACGCTTACATTATTAATTTTTAGAACAGTGAATCACTCGAGGAAATAATTACTGCCAAAAAAACTAATCAACCTTTTTTAATCGCTTCTGGATCTTCAGAGAAAGCGGTAGATTACTACACTATATCGGTAGATAATAAGGTACTTGCGGTGGAAAGCATTACTAATTCTGGGCAAGCTTTTGACCTCCTTTTTAAATCGTTTTTCGTTTTTAATTTAACTTATGACCCTACACTAGAAATTTTCTATAAATTCATTCAAGTGTTTTTTTACGGTATAGACGATATTAAAATCACGCCCAATATTAGAGAATTGCGATCAAAACTATTAGCGCAATAATAAATCTCGCCTTATAAGCAAATGCTAGTTTATTTGATTTTTGATTTACTTATTCCAGTACAATGCTGGTTTGTTTTAAATGTGCCAGTAATTTTGAATCTTTTCAATTATTGTCAAAGCATTTAAGAAAACAACACTGTCTCTATGAAAATTTAACAAATTTTGAACTGATTTGCACTAAGTGCAAATTAAAGTTCTATACCTACTGCGGTTATAAACGTCACACTCTTAATTGTGTTGTAAGTTCTGATAATTTGACAGAAGTTTTCGATACTGTAACCCAAGTTAATGATAATGTACAAGTTCCTCTTGTACTACCTGCCGGAGTTGAACAACTGCAAGATGATATACATACTGCTAAATGTGAAACTAATAGTAACGTTACTGAAATATTTGACAATACTGCATCGAACTTTGATTTTAAAGAATATTTGTTGGCATATACTACAAAGTTACACTCTTTGGGGATTCCAGAAACAACCATACAGATTATTTTTCAATCCACACAATTTTTAATTGAAAATGTTGTTGATAATATTATTGGAGAAACCAACGCTTATTCAAACAGTAACAACTCTTTACAATTATTAGATAATTTACAAAACCGAAGTGCAGCAATAAAGAAAGACATTGAATTGTTAAATACTTCTTACAAACGTAACAAATTAATTCATAAATCATTAGTCTTACCCAAACAAGTTACAATAGGCATACGTAGAGATCAAGTATTTGATAAATCTAGTCAGCAGTATATTGAGAAAAATGTAACCAGTACATTTTCTTATGTACCTATTCTATCAACGTTAACATCTCTTTTAACTTGTGAGCAATATTTTAATTTATTTGAACAACACTCTACTAATTTAACGAGTAACGACGTGTACATAAATGATATTAAAGACGGTGTTTACATTAAAAATCATAATTTTTTTAAAAACCCTTGTAATCTCAGAATAATACTATATTATGACGATTTCGAAACAACGAATCCTCTGGGCAGTAAAACTGGAGCTCATAAAATTGGGGCTTTTTACTTCAGCATAACCAACATACCAAGTTATTTAAATTCTCAGCTATCTCACATACATCTTCTTGCATTGTGTTATTCATCAGACATTAAGCAGTTTGGAATAAATGCTATTTTAGAACCTATTGTCAACGATATTAAAGTTTTAGAAACTCAAGGTATTTTTATCGAACCTCAGAATAAAACAATTTTTGGCTCGGTTGTTGCTTTATCACACGATAATCTAGGTGGTAATGTATTATTGGGAATGGTTGAGAGCTTTTCAGCCAACAATTTTTGCCGAATTTGTACTGCTGATAAAAAGACTTGCCAATCATTAACACGAGAAGATGTTTCTTTACTACGGAACATGAATAATTATGAGCTTCATTGTAATCAAGCTAAAGATGAAAAGCAAGTACTTGGCGTTAAATGTCGTAGTGGGTTATGTGACTTAAAATATTTTAATATTTTTGATTCTGCTTCAGTGGATCCAATGCACGATATCCTAGAAGGCATTGCTCCTTACGAAATTAAAATATTCTTAAAGCTATTGGTTGATAAAAAACTAGCAACTATACGTGATATTAATTCGAGGTTACAAGCATTTCCCTTTGGTAAAACAGATAGGAATAATAAACCAAGTCCAATAATATTAGATAAACCAGGGCATTTAATTGGACAACGAGCTGCCCAAACGTGGTGCTTACACAGGAAAAAATAAGTTGTTACTTAAAACACAACTGTAGGTACATGAGCAACAAGTTGTGGGTAAACGTGTGACACCAATATTTTCTTGTTTAGGCACCAATCAGTATCTTGGTTCATTACATTGGAGGATTAGCACCATCATACCTTTAATTAACAAATATAAAATAGTACTGCCACCACATATATTGTAGTTACGTCAAACTATAGGAAACCATATTCCAACAATCCTTTTAGGTATTTTATATAGTAATAAAATAGCTTTTCTAAACATATATTATTGTAAAAAACACAATCTGTGTTGTTGGTGCAATGTGTGAATGTGTTTTGACTACACATTAGTTTTTGATATGGAAGAAATTTTTTGACTGCGGTAAATAAATTTATTGGTATAACACCCATAATTTATGTAAGAGTCAGTACTTTGAAATTCCAATACAACAAACTTTACTTTTGTGTGAAATTAAGATATTACCGAAAGTAAAATAATTATTGTTGAACCAACAAAATACTATTTTAAATGAAAAAATAAAAAATTGTAAAATATATATCTTTTATTGTTAGGTAATAATACTGTTACATAATATTTTTATAAAACGTAATATTAATTTTATAACAAAAAACAAAATAAACTTATTCTAATTCATATATAATAATGAAACCTTATAAACTAGGATTAAGTATATACACTCCTAAAACAATGTACATTATTCAAAACGTTGTTTAAGTAATTCATCTTATTGTTACAAAAAACTTACTATCTTTTTTAGTCAAAAGGCATGGTGTTGTACATAACAACTTTGAATATTCTATCAATTTTTCTCCTAAAGTAATTTGTACCTCATACGAATGATAATGTTCATTAAATCGTTCAGTGCTATATTTGTTTAACAGAAACCAAACTTTGTCATTTATAATAAATATTTCTACTATTTCTCCAAATGTTGGACAGCCATCATTTTCAAAACTTGTTATTAATGTAACTGATGGTTTGTAAATTGTACCTTTTAATTCAACCCACTTTGTTGTAACTACATTTGTAAAATTTGTTCCAGAAAATATTGCAAAATCGTGTGTGTTTGCTTCAGTAATAAAGCCGTGATTAAAATTGTCTTTTAAAAACTCGGCTGACAATAAAAAGTGGCATAATTTTAACTGATGTTTTGTGCAAATAGTTTCGAGTAGATTTTTTTTTGAACAAGAAATGTTAGCAGTTACCTTCGACTCCCTATGTTTGGCCTCGAATCTCATTGACCAATGTAACATCAAAGGACCAGACATACGAAATACTCTTCCATAATGTATTAAATGATGGAATTTTGGTTTCAATGTTAAATGGAGTACATCAATACAATTCGTAAGAAAATCTAATATTAAATCATTCAACACAATATAGGTATTGCGGTGAAGTATTGGTGAAAGAATAATGTCTAGTAATTTTTTTAACAACAAGTACGTTTGCCAAATGTGGTTATTGCGTGGAATCATATCGCCAATTATTAGTCCAAAATATCGACAAAAGCTTAACATTTCTGAGGCAGACATTCTCAGTTTAGTGTTTAACGATTCCCTGTTTATACGTGGGGGTCTATTAATATCATGAATACCGAAATTAAAAGTTTTTATTCTGTAATTTAATATTTCTAGGCTAAATAGTTTTAAATCTAGTATGAATTTTTGTAATATTGCAGTCATTACGTAATTACAGACACCTTCTAACACGTCATGCATGATATCAACTGCATAATTTTCTGAAAAATGAAAACCGTTAATTTGATTAAAAATGCATATTTCTTTGATTCCTAAATCAAGTGTGTCAGGCTTTATATGTTCATCATACCAAGATTTAGTTCTTAACAAATTTACGTCTTCTTTACATAGATTCTTACAATGATTTTTTGTCGCTAAACAAAACCTGCAATGATACGTAGCGGAGAAACTCTCCACCATTCCTAACAGTGAATGCAAACCTAAGTTATCTCCCAAAACAAGTCCTAATGCAAAGTAAATTCTTTCACCTTGGCCGTTGATATCTATAAGGATTCCAACAGACTGCAAAAATATGAGTTCATCGATTAAAATTTGAAATATTGCAGAATTCCCAAATTCTTTTCTATCATTGCTGTAGAAGAGTAATGTTAAAAAAAATGTTTTTTAAACGTGCTTGAGATTGAGGCGGTATGCAGGGAATCGAAACATACACTGCTCCTAACTTGTTCTTACCACTATGAGATCCCAGAGGATTCCCCGCTTCGTAATCATCAAAATAAATAAATAGTGGAAGTACAGTTTTGTTATTATGCTGAAGCAGTTTTTGTTGCCAAATATTGCTTTGAACAAAGCTGGTTAAAACAAATGAATCCTTGTCCAAAGTTTGGATATATGCCCTCACGTCTAACAAAAAATTGGGTAACTGAAAAAGTGCACTGAATATTTGCCGTAAAGGAATAAATTTAGCATGAACTGGTTCTGGAATTAAACACCCAACACCGTCAAGAACTTTGAAATGACTTCTTTGGCCAATTATATAATTGACAGGTTTTATAAAAAATCTCGTGTTTTCAAAAGTCTTGAATCTTTTGTATTCAGTTCCAAGGCCATCAAATGGATTTTTAAAGTAAGATATCATATGTATTAAACCATCAATAATGAAATTCTTATCTTGGTCTACATTGGAAGTTACATAGCTGTTGATTTTTTCAATTAAAACTGGCACATAAAAATCGTCAATGAATCGTTTAATACTTTCAACAAATATTTGAACAGAATTACGATTAACGTAAGAATGGCAGTATAAACTACTAACTAATTTAAGGCATTCTGCATTAATGTCTATGTTATTTTTTGGATAAAGGGGGGTTACAAAATCATGTGGTGAATGTACTGACTCATGGTTAACGTTATCTAGCAAATTAATTGATTGATTCAATGGAACATCCAAACTTATTGCACTGTCTAAAGGAGTAGCCTCCCTTAAAGTAGAATTAGATATCAAAACGTGATTTTTATTTAAATGCTTTTTGAATGCATTTAAGTTACTGTATGTTCGATTGCAGTCAATACACTTATGAATATCTTGGTGTTTTAAATAATGCACATGTTTTAAATGTGAAAGAAGTAAAGTGTTTGAGCTTAGTTCACATTTGCACTTAAAACATTTCATTTTCTTAGGTTACTATGCTATTTATATCTGAAGTGAATGCATTCAAACTTACAAACGATCTATCCGATGGCGTATAAATTTCATAAATATATTGCTGTATAAACGTCCAAATATGTTCCGCTTCTATTGGATACTTGGCATTAGTTGCATGATATACCTTGAAACAGACATCTACAGCTTTCATTGGTGTTTCCAATTTATATTGAGTGTCATTGATGATTACGTAAGAAGATGTAATTCCGTCTACAGTTCCAACTAAAACTACGGATGGTTGTAATGTTTCACCAAAAGTTAAGAGTTTATTCCTTCGACTCTCCAACTTTTCTTCTAATTTGCTAATATCCTAAAAATATATATTTAATTTAACTTAACAAATAATTTTAACTACCTCTATAATACAACAAAATGCTTCTTGTGTTTCTACTTTCGAAGGTTTGTATCGCGTACCACTTTTTTTTTATTTAATGGGACAGGGTGGTATAATTAGCGGTAATAATGCAAATCCCAATACTTCTTTTTGTCCTAAAACAAACAAGTAACTTTAGTTACACTATTAAATTAACATAAATACAAACTTACTTTCATTATATGATTGGTAATTATAGTTCTTCAGAAAATTTTTGCCTGTTGTGTTGTCTTTTTTTGTTTCTACTAGTTTAAGTATCCGCTCGGAAAAATTTAGCCACTTATTTAGTAAGTGGTTTCCTTTTCCAGTAAATAATGCGTCAAAGTCAAGTTCCAACTAAAAAAAAAGTTCACGTAGGTACCTATTTTCAGTAAATTAATTCCTACCAACAAATACCCAGAAGGTTGCCTTAAAGAAGGATAGTCTCGGAAATAAGTGTCTATTGTTTCAAATTTTTGTCTAATTCGGAGCGTTTTTTGCCAATTTTCTATGACAAGATTCCACGGCATTACATTGTTGCGCAGCCATGTGTCCAACTCCTGAAGTTCCTCACTTGAAATATTGTCATTTTCACTTTGTTGAACAGGTGCTACAGAATAAAGAAATCTTATTATATAGTCTATACAAATAACACTTACAAGTGATGGTAGATGTATTGGATTTCTTTGTGATTATTTGTAGTCGTCGAAAATTGCGCCTTTTATTTACATATTTATCCCATAAAATCCCCTTAGCTGTCGATACCCTTCCATCGGAAGATTTACAGTATGGAATATAATATGATCCTGCTAACTCTCCAGGAAATGTTTGGGCTATTTTTTGGGATATCTCCGTAAACGTAGCGGAATTAATTCTAAAAATCAACACATCATTAGCTACTCGCTTTAAATAATTACATAGATATACCTTGCATTGGGGTCATCTTTTAACTGATTTTCTATGATAATATCTGCTAGTGTAGACCTATTAAATGTTTTGAAGAGTTTGTAACTTTGTAAAATTTCCTTTCCCCGTACGCGCTCTTTTTCCAGTAGTTGGCGCAAATCTGTGTTTACGTCCGCATCACCTTGCGGATTAATATGTCCAAATTGTGGATTTGATGTATCTAGGTAAATATACTATAGAAGTTAACTTTAACAAAATGATATGTACACTTACCTAATGCATCATCAATTGAGCTGGATGGTACCGGAAGAAACAAAGTCGTTATTTGATCATTTACATCAGCTGATGTAATTGTACATGTACTTGATGAGGAAGACAATGGTTCCTCATCAGTACCCTACAAACAATAAAATAGCAGGGTTTTGACCACCACAAACACACTGTTCAGGAAACAATAACCACAGTTGATCATATTACGTTTTCGGATTTCAGGTACATTAACTAAATTTTAACAGGTCGAAGAAATGAGTTCCCGAAAGTACTACATTTTTCTTTATTTTTTTGATAAAAACACCTATTTATAATTTTGCTTTCTTGTATCAAATGAAATAATTTGTACATTTCCAAATTCCAAATGTATTAAGGGCGACGAATTGAAGCAAAGTACCCACTTATTCGACGTAAAACAATCGCAACTTGAATTAAAAGTTTATATTAGACGTAGAAAAACAATTATGCACAGCGAAAAATGTTGTCGTGGTTATTATTTCAGAATCACAGTTGTAATGAAAATTAAGAGCTTGGCCTAGGGTTTGACTTACAATTATTAGAGAATTGCCGAATATGTTATTATAATTTTTCGAAAATTTATACCGTAATCCCACTTGTGGAATTAATTCCTTAATCATCGACTCCGTTAAATTTAAAAAAACTTCGTTGTCGATTTGGTTTTCTAAAAAAAAAACGGTAGGTCGTTAAACTAAGTAAGTATATCAAACAAGGAAGTTCATACAATGAGTAGAAATTGCACACTGCAAACCGTTGTAAACAAAAATTTTGCAAACCACAATGGCAATAGGAACGTTGAACGCGTGATAAAAAGCAATGGAGGTATAACATTTTTCTTAAAAATTGAAATGTGCAATTTCGCGTTTTAGATATAGATAGAAGGCATAACTCTCAAAAATATAGGTAAATGTATCGGGTACTTACGAGAAAAAATTTCAATCAAGTCCTCCGGCCCCATTCTTTCAACTTATCCACCACAAAATCCATCTTTACGGCATGCACGATGCACAAAAATGTGAAAATTAAAATATGTGACCGAATACATTATTGTGCGCGGTTATTTTAATCATTGCAGATTTTGCATTTCTTATACTATGTAGGCGTTGTATCAAATTCATTTGCGGCTTTACACATATAAATTGTAACTCCAACAACTGAAGTACGTATTTTAATTACGGAGTTTAGTAGCACTACCAACAATATATTGTTGTTTTGATCATTTTTTTGCTGCTATAGACGCGCATGTTGTATGCCTAGCAAAATTTTTTTGAAGGTGTACAAGTTCGACCATACTATGTTAACAATAAGTTTTATACCTAAACTTTACACATCTACAACCAAAAGGTATTGATGAGTAAAATTGTCTTTGTTGGTTAGTTTACAACCATCGTCACCATATTATCCGTGCATACAGTATTTACATTATATTGCTACATAAACACCATGGTATTGTTAGAATAAACTAAATTGAGTTTCTGCCAGCTTTAAATTGTTAACATATTTTCAATTGATACACCAAACACAAAATTTCTCTCTGTGTATATTGTTATAGATGCCGTTTAAATGGAAATCTAAAGGTCGCACAAACTATTCTCCAGACGATTTAAAAAGCGCAGTTATTGAAGTAGTAAATGAAAATAAAGCACTGAGGACTACTGCCAAAAAGTACAATGTTGACAAAATGACACTGAGAAGATATGTCCTAAAATACAAGACGGACAAAGAAACATCTTTTACACCAAATTTTGTCACTTCACAAATTTTTTCATGTCACGAAGAATCGCTTTTAGTGGAATATTTGCTCACTTCTGCCAACCTCCACTATGGTCTTACGCCTAAGCAAACAAGGAAGTTTGCGTATGAATTTGGTCAAGCAAATAACAAAAAGCTACCAGAAAACTGGAAGAAAAACGAATGTGCTTCCTACGATTGGCTAAAAGGATTCATGTCACGTTATCCCCAATTATCACTCAGAAGTCCCGAAGCCACTAGTTTGGGCAGAGCCACTGCGTTCAATCGACATAATGTGCAAGAATTTTACAAAAATTTGAGCAATTTATTGGAACGGGAAACTTTTGGCCCAGAATCCGTGTACAACTTAGATGAAACTGGAGTGACTACTGCCCACAAACCTCAAAAGATCATTGCGCGTAAAGGCCAAAAACAAATTTCAAAAAGTACTTCAGCAGAACGTGGTACTCTGGTAACAGTTTGTTGTGCTATAAATGCAGTAGGAAATTCTGTGCCGCCATTTTTTATATTTCCTCGTGTGAGAATGCAGGATTACATGATCCAAGGTGCTCCTTCAGGTTCCATTGCTGTGACGCATGAAAGTGGTTGGATGACTGCTGATAATTTCGTAAAATATCTAGATCACTTCATAAAACACGCAAAATGTTCCAATGAAAACAAATGCATATTAGTCCTTGACAATCACGAAAGCCATATTTCACCCAAAGCCTTAGACAAATGTAAGTTAAATGGCATTCATTTACTAACTTTACCACCTCACACAAGCCACCGCTTACAACCTTTAGATGTATCGGTTTTTGGTCCGTTTAAAAGATATTATAATGAACAGGCAGATGCATGGATGGTCAGCCATCCAGGACAAACAATTTCATTAAAAAATATACCGGAATTAGTTGGATTAGCCTATGTCAGGGCGTTCTCGCCATCAAATATAACCAAGGGATTTTCAACCACTGGAATTTATCCTTTTAACCCACATTTATTTGAAGATCTCGATTTCGCAGGAGCAGAAGTTACAAACAGACCATATGAGGAATTAAGGGAAAATTCTGAAAAAGAACTCGATAGAGATGACCCAATAGCTCAACCTGGCACATCCATATCTCAGCAAGAGACAACACCACCACCTGGCACCTCTTTATGTCAACAGAAGTCAACTTCAAATCCAATAGAAACGTTTCTACAGGATAGCACCACAATCCAAAGCACCTCATCTGTTTCATTTAAAACTCCTGAAGAAGTTCGTCCTTATCCCAAGGCACAACCACGATTGAAAAAAGGAGGCAGAAAGCCTGGTCGGACAAGAATCTTAACCGACACCCCAGAAAAAGAGGCCATTGAGGCCGAGTATAAGATGAGGGAAGGAAAAAAACGTATGAAAACTAAAGTTGAAATGGCTAAACGAAAAATAAGTAGTGAAACTGGAGAAAATAATCACTTTGAAAAACTCAATGCTGAGAGTACGGAATCCCAACCCAAAAGAAAAGTTTTGGATAGAAATGCAAAAACAGAAAAACGTGTGTTCGGTGACTCGGATTCTGAGGACGAAAAGGATCCATTTTCTGATGCAGATGACGATGACGATGCCGCTTGCATCTACTGAAATTCACTATTTTCAGCGTCTCGTTCTAGAGAAAAGTGGATCCAATGCCAGAAGTGTCTCAGATGGTGCCATTCAGCCTGTGCTGATGTCAAGCATAATACAAAAATGTTTTCTTGTGAATTATGTATTAATAGTACAGGCGATAAGTACACAAAAAACGTCAATCTGAACATTTTGGGGGGGAAAGCTGGACTTTGTTGAAATGTCTCAGGTTAGGTGTCCCGAATAACGTACTAAAAGTCTAGACCCCCAACTGCGCCGCTCATCGAGCTGTGGCACGTTTTTGCCCCCCGAAATCAGTTTTTCGTTAATATCTCGAAAATGTAGCAGACTTAGAGAAAAACTTTTGAAACAAAAAATGTTCCACGTAAAATTTCCTACACGATAGCTTATTTGCAAGTTAGCCCAGGCCTAACCGTTAGCCTACAGCGTTCATTTGAGTAGTCTAATATCGAGTTTTTCGCGAATTTCCTGCAGTGAATAGACAGAGAACAGGGTCATATGTCAGTCTACCTGCAGTGTACACTCTTTCTATTTCATGGAATGAAATTTTCAGCCGTTAAAATGAGAAGAAGCGACTGCGTGATCACCATGAAAGCTCTCAACACAATGAAAGTGCGCGATGAAAACCGTCTGGTGGATCCGTTAATACTGTTTAAAAGGATTTCAATTTTGAAGAAAAGTGACGCTCAACTGAAGAAATACCTGGAGTATGAATTGGCACCATACCCCTTGGCGCTGTTTGACGAGAAAGGGATGCGAAAATGTGTCAAATCTACACTCTATAAAATCTTCTCAGAGAGTGATTTGACTCAATATGATAAAACTAAGTTACGTTATTGATGGTGGCTTCCTGCTTCGTAAAATTCTGTGGGAGCGAGGTGAGACATACAAGGTAACATGTCAGAAGTACGTCTCATACGTTGAGCGTCGCCTACTGCCGCTGCATTCAGTCTCCACGCCTACCGATGCTTTCATCAGGTGCAAAAATGGAGAGGAAACAGAATGTTGATGAAATTTCTTAAATTAACGTTCAAATCGGCTATCCTATGGTACAATAAGTGAGAAGTACGTCTTTCATCAATTTAGGCGTCCATACAACCATAAGTACAAAAAATCATCAAAGAACTCAATATTAGACTACTCAAACGAACGCTGTAGGCTATCGGTTAGGCCTGGACTAACTTGCAAGTAAGCTATCGTGTAGGAAATTTTACGAGGAACATTTTTTGTTTCAAAAGTTTTTCTCTAAGCCTGCTACATTTCGAGATATTAACGAAAAACTGATTTTGGGGGGCAAAAACGTGCCACAGCTCGATGAGCGGCGCAGTTGGGGGTCTGGACTTTTAGTACGTTATTCGAGACACCTAACCTGAGACATTTCAACAAAATCCAGCTTTCCCCCCCAAAATGTTTAGACCGATGCACTTACCGCCTGTACTATAATTAAATAATGTTCTGATAATAATAGATTGCAGTCCTTTTAGTGTTTTATATTTAATTTCTTATTGTATCAAACCTCCCATTCAATGTATCAAGCCTCCCTTGTATAGGGAGGTTTGAGACACTTTGCATCGAGAATTTCAAAATTGTATACCTATTCAAAGTTAAATATTTAATTTTCAGTAATTTAATGTTCCCAAATTTCTAAGCAATGTCTCTAAATTGAGCTCTGACATAAATGGATTAGCAAATGATGATTATAAAATATTTATTAATTTTTTTCTAAAAAACGTATCAACCCTCCCCAGTCTCCCCTACCTATTTAGGGGAGACCGGTGTAGAAAGTAACAAAATGTACTTAATATTTTTTTGTACATTCAATTATAAAGGAAATTAGTCCGTATGCCAATTAAAACACACAATGCTCGTTTCTTTTCCTAATTTTGTAAAGTGTTTCGTTATCATAATGTCATATTTGTAAAAAAAAAAGTTATTTGAAAGAAAGGAATGTGTTACATTTAACACCGCTTTGGTGTAAATTGTAACATGCGTGGTGTTAATTGTAACACACAGAAAATGCATAAAGAAGAATAGTTCATGCTTATTTATTCATGTTAAAAGTAAACAAAAACAAAAATAAAATTTTATACGAAAGAAAACAATAAAAGTCCTACACTACAGCATACCTAATCTGCATCTGAATCGCAATTTTTGCAAACAAATAACGCATTGTTACCCGCACAACTACAGTGTGCCCATTCCTTGCAATTTCTGCACTGCAACCAATCTTCTTTGCTTTCTTTGTAGGGTCCCAAGCAAACTATACAAATACTGTCATCTTCAGATGATGATAAATTTTCTGACACTTTTCTTTTTATTGTTTGTTTGTTTTTCTTCTTTGTCTGGGAACCATGTAATTTTTTGGTGACCGCGACTACCTTTTTTTTGTTAAACTTCTCCTCTATTAAATTCTTCTCGGGCGTATCCGTTAAAATTGCCGTTTTTCCTTTCGCCCTCTTGTTCGTTTTCACTGGCTTCGAAAAATCAGCCTTCAGCAAGGGACGAATTTCTTCAGGAGAATAAAACGCAGCTGGTGGAATGGGCGATGTTTTAGGGGGTGTGCTAGGTTCACATGGAATATTGATGATATTAAGATTGGCATCATTTAGAGGCATTTCAATGGAACTTGTTGATGTGCTCGCAGGACACAATATGGCTTCTTTTTCGCCAACGGCTGATGCGGTATTTAATGGCCTGTCCGTAACGCTAGATGGAGCAAATTCGTCGTCCGAGAAGATGTTTCTATTAAAGGGCCATATTCCACAACACCTGAAACCGGAAGTAATATTTTTGGGAACTGCGGCCAATTGAATGGCCTCCCTAGCTATGCTCGGAATATTGTACATCGTCATTCTTTTACCAGGATTATTTTTCATCCATTGATCGCAAGAATTATTGTAAAATTTCTTAAACGGCCCATAGACACCACGATCTAATGGTTGTAACTTGTGTGAGGTGTGAGGGGGGAACGAAAGTAGGGTAATATAATTGTCTCTACAAAAGTCAATCACTGGTAAATACAAATGAGAGGCGTGGTTGTCTAAAATTAGTAGCACTCTGTTGGTTTCGGAAGGTTTGGAAAACTTTGCGAAATGTTTAATAAAAATTAAAAAATCCTCTTCTTGCATCCACCCACTTCTGTTTGCACTTCCAATGCAACTGTCTGGTCCGTCTCGCACAAAATGATCATGGTATCGCACTAATGGAAACACAAACATGGGAGGAATACTATTACCTAGAGCATTGATGGCAAAGCACATTGTCACTAGTGTCCCTCTTTCCTGAGAAGTGATGGCACCAACTTGTTTGACACCTTTTAATGAAATCACTTTATTGGGTTTTTGGACGGTTGTACAACCAGTCTCATCGACATTAAAAATATTGTGGGGTTCAAAATTATGCCTTTCCATTACGTCGCTCAAGTTGTCAAAAAACTTGCCAACATTTTCTGGATTAAAATTCATAGCCCTTGCTAGACTAGTTGATTCAGGTGTCCGGATAGATAATGTTGGATTACGCTTCAAAAAGGCAGTAAGCCAATCCTCGCTAGCCATGTCACTTTCTTTCCAGCCATCAGGAAATTTGCATTTGTTTTTTATAGCAAACTGATAAGCAAGCTTCCGTAAATCTCTCGTTGACAGGCCAAAATAAAGTTTTGCAGATTCTTCGCAGTATCGCCCCAACTGCTGTTCTTGTTCGCCTGTGAAGACTTTTTTATGAGGTCGATATCCCACTTGTGGATTTTCTTTTTTCCGCATTTTATTAACAAATCGACACAAAGTTACATGGCACATGCCGTATTCTTTTGCTGTTGCCCTTACAGAAGCATTTTCATCTATCACCCTTTTAGCTGCAAGCTCGAACGTCTCTTGTGGAATTAGGCCTCTACTTGTCTTCCGCGGCCTTGGTTTAACCATTTTTGAATTTAACCTATCAGAATACAAAAATGAGACTTCATACTTTATGGAAAATGGGGGTGTTGAAAGTAACACCGTTACAATCAACACCATGCACGCTGTTACAATTAACACCCACTGACGTCCCGCTCATTTCATCTTAATCTAACCTACACAGAAAAAAAAAACTTGTCTCTTCTAGATAAAATACCTAGTCACTATAGTGACAGTAAAGATTTTATCTGCAGAATACAATTTTTCTTTCTATTTTATGTTTATTACGCAGAACAAATACCTACATTATCGCAATTAGCACTTTAATTTTCACTAGAGCAGTGAAGTAAAAAATCCATTGGTTCTAAGAACTTATGTATATTAGATAAGTACCTTTGTCTATTACTCCAAACTCTGTTGAGTAACTTACTCAATTAATTTTCTATCATAGATAAACACTATTGCTTATATTTTAAAGCAAATTAGTTCTGTGATTCATTCTTTTTGTCTACAATACCATACTTTTTTTGCTCCTCAATAAATGTCGCTTGTCTTGCAGAACTAACACTAATTGTCTACCACAGATATTATCAATTTATTACAGTAGACAAATATATTGCTGTTGTATCAATTTACACAGGGTGCTCCAAAATAAAACAAACATATAACCAAAGGTATATTGTGTTGTATACAGGGTGTTACACGACCGTTCGAAAAAAAAAAATCGGGTTGTAGAGGGCATCAAAACAAGCACTTTTTCCAAATAAACCGAGGGTCCAACGTGGTTCGTTTGGGAGCCACCCCCCAAAGAGTGTTGAAATCTGCATTTCTTCTTTAATTTTTTTCTCAGCAACCATAAGAGTTACAAAGTCGGGTGGCATGTCTTTGAATAGGTTTTTGGGTATGCTCTTTCCGATTTTGCAAATTTTTTTTCAAAATTCCTACCCCTAAACGGCGCACCCCTAAACTAGGGTGCAAAAAAAAATTCTGATTTCGACGAAATTTGGTATCTGGGGGTTTTTTAACATGAAAATCACGAATCTGAAATTAGTTTTTGAAAATTCGAAAAAAAAAGTTCCATGCAATTCTTGGCGGGACAACGAAAATAGAGATAATTCCACGAAATTTGTTGTGTACATACTAAACGAGTTAAGGAACAAAACTGTCGAACAGTTTTTTAATATAACTTTTCAAACAAAAGTTATACTCATTTGAATGTTGGTCCTTCGGGTCGCGAAGTGTCCCAAGCCTACTAGTAAGCCATAATTTCGCATTGTGTTGGTTGACAATGTCGCAAAAACAAAAGATTAACGGTTTGAGTCGATATTTTGTTATTTGGAATTAATTCGGTCATTAAATGATTAAAAAATTCGATGTATCGATTAAAACACCTACCAAGGTATCTTAAAGCGCTGTCGATTATTTATTATCTAAATAAGGTAGGGGAAAAAGTCAAATCACTTTCCGTATGATACTTTTTCACTATGATCAAAAATTTTCATAATCTTAGGTTGAAAAATAACTTCCAAAAGAACCCGCTCCTGGCTTACTAGTAGGCTTGGGACACTTCGCGACCCGAAGGACCAACATTCAAATGAGTATAACTTTTGTTTGAAAAGTTATTTTAAAAAACTGTTTTGTTCCTTAACTCGTTTAGTATGTACACAACAAATTTCGTGGAATTATCTCTATTTTCGTTGTCCCGCCAAGAATTGCAGTGGAACTTTTTTTTTTCGAATTTTCAAAAACTAATTTCAGATTCGTGATTTTCATGTTAAAAAACCCCCAGATACCAAATTTCGTCGAAATCAGAATTTTTTTTTGCACCCTAGCTTAGGGGTGCGCCCTTTAGGGGTAGGAATTTTGAAAAAAAATTGCAAAATCGGAAAGAGCATACCCAAAAACCTATTCAAAGACATGCCACCCGACTTTGTAACTCTTATGGTTGCTGAGAAAAAAATTAAAGAAGAAATGCAGATTTCAACACTCTTTGGGGGGTGGCCCCCAAACGAAACACGTTGGACCCTCGGTTTATTTGGAAAAAGTGCTTGTTTTGATGCCCTCTACAACCCGATTTTTTTTTTTCGAACGGTCGTGTAACACCCTGTATATATGGTACATAAGCTAAACATTATTATATATGTAGATACAATGTATTTACATTAAAAATTACTTAAGAGCTAAGCAGAACAAACTTATACTATATAGGTACCTTAAATTTAATCAATTGGGAATTAAACATAATTTTTCTATTTTATTATTAATCTTTAGTAAAGTGAAACCAATCGAATATATTATTACCAGAAACGACATTTATCAATTTCCAGAAATATCATTTCGCGTAGCAATATATATTTTGCCATTAGCTGATTTGTGCAGGATAGCTTGAAAAGGATCCAGCAAATCTTTGTATGGAATTACTTTATAAACTTTAGTTTTACAAACTTCATATGCGTGGTAATGTGCATCAAATGTCATTGTGTCAAAACTATTGTACACGAAGGTAATTTCATTTTCAATTTCCACTATGTATAGCAGCATTCCAAAAGTAGGTAACGAATCATTAGTTCCAACAATTAAAATTCCTGACTGTTTATACACTAAACCACCAACATTAACCCAACGGGGTAAGTAACAATCATTTAAGTTTTCAGGCAATAAAGATTTGAAATTTTCATAAAAAGGTAGGGTGTTTAAAAAAAATATGTCACCTGGACCAACAGTCAGATTGTTCTCCAAGGAGTCTTTTGACATTAATTTATAACAGAGTTTCAGCTGTTGTTTCATAGCTAAAGTTAAAGTGATATTTTTTCTTGAGGATGTTATATTTGCAGTTTTTTTTGAATCTTTGTGTTTTGATTCAAACCTCATAGCCCAAAGGTTACGAAGTGGTCCAACTTTAGACATAATGAAAGGATAGTGTATCATATGATGATGTTTCGGTTTTAAACATTGCCTGAATGTATTTGTATAAATTTGATGATGCTCTTCTATTAAAGTTTTTAGAAGTACTACTTGAGAAGGACATGCAGATCTCGAGAAAATTATGTCGACAATTTGCCTCAAACACAAATATAGTTGCCACCCCTCGTCTGAATCTGGTACCGCATCGCCAATAAACAATGAAAAATAGCGTGTGAAACACAGCATTTCGGAAGCCGATAAATTAAGTTTTTTCTTTTTTTGAAAATTACTTTCAATAGGGGGTGGTCGATTTTTAATTTCCAACTCGCTATAATTAAATGTATTCAGCCGAAAGTTAAAATTTTCTAAAGTAAAGTATTTCATATCACATATAAATCGTTGCAAAATTAGAAGAAAATCATAATGGCACACTCCCTCCAGAATGTCGTGCATAATGTCAACAGATAGGTTACTTGTAACATGAAAATTAAGGGAATGCCATAGACAGGGCTCTTTAATTCCAGTCAAAGCTAGGTTTTTTTGCTCAATGTCATTGTTATACATTTCTACAGTTCTTAGAACGGTGTCGTTTTGGGAACATGCAGTTTTCAATTCATTTTTTGACATTTTACAAAAACGACAAGGATAGTTGCATGAAAAGCTTTCGCTGAAACCTAAAATTGTATGCATTCCCAAATTATCACCAACAATAAGTGCAAGAGAAAAATATATTTTAATGATTCCACTTGGTGTATCAATACATATACCACTATCTTCTAAATATTTCAGCTCATCTGCGATGATACCAAAAATAGCATGATTACCAAATGCTTTCCTATCATCACTATGATGCAATTCAACAAGTAATATTCTATCAAGTGAACCTTGAAGGTAGTTTGGAAGAAATGGCAAACTTACGTATACTGCTCCAATTTTATAAACGCCAGAATGAGAGCCTAAAGGATTGCATGATTCATAATCGTCATAATACAGAAAAAGGGGAAATACAATTTTGTTTTGAAAGTGCAAGAGTTTTTCTTTCCATAATTCAGACTCGACAAAGTTCGAAATAGTATTATCTTTAATGTTTACTCCTGACACAAATTCTAATGATTTTTTGAACACATCAGGCATTTCAAAGTAGTGTTTGAGCACCAACCTTAGCGGAATAAAGCACGCTTTCACATCCTTTACCGCCAGCGTTGCATTATTTTCCTTGACTACTTCTACTGTTTTCTGCACAGAGAAAAATTTTTAACCTCATATCAATGACTGTCGTGTCTTGACTTGAAAACATCAGCACAATGTACTTTTACATTGGTATGATGTAATGTTGGTATAGAATCAATGCTATTCAATCATCAGTTAATAACCTTGGGCGTTAATGCTAGGACTACGCAACCCTTGCGACAAGGTTGTACATTCATTCGGTTGATGTGAAATTGTTATCTATTGTAGTATAGTTTTACATACTGACAATGTAAATTTTGCCTTACGGTGATGCCTACAAATGTTTGAAAATTGTGTACTTTTCATTAACAGAAGTTATTGTTTCAATGAATCTTATAATCGATTAATGCAGGCAGCATGCCTTCCACCAATGTATAGGTAGGTACTACGTTTCAAGTAACACATATGCGTTAAATTATCATAAGAAAAAATGCAAATTGTTTTGAGATACAGCATTGAACTTAGTAACTTGCAAGTTGCAAGGAAACCAGAGTTTCAATGTAGGTATTCACAAGTTGCTGGACGATTGTTGCAGATAATCACACCAGCAGAAAAGATGTTAAAAAAGTCTGCGGGTAGCCGCATGACTTAAACGCATTTTTGGTGTGTAGATCAGTGACATTACCGATTACAACAATATAAATATCCGGCGGACACATAACTTTTAAGCACAAAGCTAACGCAAAAAACCGGAAGTCTCTATCTATTGTAGTTTTCGAGAACTCAGAGATCACCAGCCGGCCAAAGTGAGACTATAAGCTGCACTTTTGTTCCAAAAATGCGATACAATATATTTGTGGGGAAGACATCAATACCGAGTTTTATAAGCTCATACTTCCACCCCAATTCGAGATGATGGAATTCCAAAAGTAATGCTGAGAGCATTATGCGGG